GGGAAGCGCTCCCCAGGGAGGGGCTGCTGGCTCCAGTCCCGCAGGGTGAGGTACCAGGAAGGGCCGAAAGGGCAGCGTTTATTCAGGTCTGGAGGTGGAAGAGGATTCTTGTCGGGAGGACACAGAGGGTAAACCAGTGTATATTCCATTGAGGTCTCTAGGTAGTTCCTAAGATCATACAGATAAAACATGAGTGGTTCTAAGAATGATCTATAAAAGTTATCTATGTGCATAAAGTGAAGGATAAAATCTTGCCCTCTTATGAGCAGCATAATGAGTTTACTCCCCCCAAAAAAACTATAAAGTACACTTTTCACAGTTCTTAACTCCCCACAGACCTGTCTCCCCTTCCCCGCCTCAGCAGGCTGCCCCTCCGGCTCTGCAGGCATGAGGGTGTGTGCCCCTGCAGACCTCTTCTTGGCCTCCATCTGGGCTATGCTGGCCCCTCCAGTCCCTGCCTGTCCTGCAATGCCCAGGCCCCTCACCCTTCCCACGCCTCCATCCCTCTGGGTCTGCCTTGGCAGCACCTGGGGGCTCTACCTGGCAGTAGCAGCCACTCCTCTAGAGTTGCCGGTGACCTTTTCTGGGCCTATTCCAATACTGCTTTTTACTTTCTTCATGGAACTTTTCACCAGCTGAGATTATTCACAGTAATTCCCAGAGAACACAGCACTATCTGTCTTGCTCAGGCCTGGATCCCCACCCACTCTGGCTCTTGAGACTTGGTAGAGAATCTGCACCTGATGAGACTCAGGAATGAATGGACATTTTCCCTCCAAGAGAAGGGCTTTGCAGCCTCCAGGGCCACCTGGGTGGCCGTGGAACTTGGCTGTGCAGTGGGCTTCTTCTCGTAGCTCTGCAGTCTTCTGGGGCTGTCAGCCACGATCACCTGCGTAAGCCTGATGACCGCCACTCACAGGGAGAGTTAAAGCAAACCACATTCGGTGGCCAAATATGTGCTGTAAAATGGTGCAAATGATAACTTTTTGGCCTTGGAAGATGTACAGTGGAAACGTAAAACAGAACTAAAAGCTCTGCTCAACACATTTTTAAAATTTTGTTTGGAAAAAGATGTTTTTTCTTGTCATCTTTCTTAACCATCAGCAGAGCTGTCACCTTCAGACAACACGCTTCAAAAACAGCAGCCAAGATTCAGGTTGTGAACGACCGTCAAGGTGCGGGAAAAGAAGAAAACTATCAATCAGAAGACTCGGTGGTTGTTTGGATGCAGCATTCCCAGCTCCCATCCACCAGAAGTTGCTCCTGGTCAAACTGAGTCAGGGGAAGACGAAACAGCCTTCTCCTGAGGAGCAGCACGGTCGAGGACAAGGCGCAGGCTCTGCAGGCTTGGGAGGTGGCCAGATATGGATGCAGTGCCGAGTCAGGCAGAGATCTCAGCCAGGAAGCCAGGAGAATTCAAAAGACCAAGGGGAGAAAGGCACAGGCCGTGCAGTCACTGGGCATATTCACGTGGACAACAGTGGAGCTCTGCCAAGGGTGGCCCTTCACTCTGCCCAGCATGAGGACCCTCAGGGCCCCCTTTAACATCTGTGTCCACTTCCACACACATAGTCACCACTCTGCGTTAGTTCGTTCTTGCATTGCTGTAAAGACATGCCTGAGACTAAAGAAAACGTGTTTAATCGGCTTACGGTTCTGCAGGCTGTGCAGGAAGCATGGCAGCTTCTGCTTCTGGGGAAGCCTCAGGAAATGTCCTGTCATGGTGGAAGGCAAAGCCAGAGAGAGCATCTTGCATGGAAGGAGCAGGAGAGAAAGAGAGAGAGAGAGAGAGAGAGAGGAGGAACTGCACACTCTTAACCACCAGATCTCAAGAGAACTCACTCACTGTTGTGGGAAGAGCACCAAGAGGATGGCGCAAAACCATTCATGAGACACCACCCCCACTATCCAACCACTCTCCACCAGGCCCCACCTCTGGCACTGGGGATTACAGTTCAACAGGAGACTCGGGTGGGGACACAGAGCTGAACTATATAACGCCCCAGTAACACTCACCCTCCCATGTTTGTAACAGAGGCATTGAGGTACAATTTTATAGATTCTAAGCTTACAATTGGATGTTTTAACAACCGCTGGCATCAAGGTATTGAACGGACTGCCTCCCCTCAACTCGCATTTCTGCCCCATGGCTCTCCATTCTCCCTGCTTCCTCCTCACACCCCAGGGGAGCGTGAATTTGTTTCTGTCCCTATGGAGTAGTTCACATTTTGTGTAAACGGAATCTCACAGAAGGTACTCTTTTTAGTCTGGTTTCCTTTACTCTGAATAACTATGTTACGGTTCATCTGTGTTGTACCGTGTATCAAGAGTCCATTTCTTTTTACTGCTGATCAGCGTTCCGCCACAGGGTCATATAACACGTGTCCATCCATCTGATACGGAGATGAGGGTTGCTTCTGGTTTCTGACAATCAGATGCAGATGCTCCAAAGAGTCGTGTGCAAGTCTCTGCACAGCCGCCGGCCGGCACTCCTCCTGGGTGAGGATCCAGGGTGGGCTGAATGGATGCAGGACAGGTTGTATGATTTAGTTTTTAAGAAACTTCCAAACTGGGTATTCAAAGTGAAGCTATTTTACCTTTCCACTGCAGAGTATGTAATCCAATTCTTCCACGCCCTTGCCCAGCTGTGGAGGGCCTGGCTGTTGGTTTTAGCCATTCCACAGGCGAGTGGTGGAGCCCCACAGAGGTGTTCGGTTGCATTGTCTTGGTAACGAATGATACCGGATGCCATGCAGGTGCTTATTTGACGTTCATATATCTTCTTTGGTGAAGTGTCTACTAAAATATTTTGCCCAGTCAGGCGCGGTGGCTCACGCCTGTAATCCCAGCACTTTGGGAGGCCAAGGCAGGCGGATCACAAGGTCAGGAGATCGAGACCACGGTGAAACCCTGTCTCTACTAAAAATACAAAAAATTAACCGGGTGAGGTGGTGGGCGCCTGTAGTCCCAGCTACTCAGGAGGCTGAGGCAGGAGAATGGTGTGAACCCAGGAGGCGGAGTTTGCAGTGAGCCGAGATCATGCCACTGAGAGACTCCGTCTCAAAAAAAAAAAATATATATATATATATATATAGAGAGAGAGAGAGAGAGAGAGAGCCCGCTTTTTTACTGTTTTTTTTTTTTCTGATTAGTGAGATTTTAGTGTTCTATATAATCGAGATACAAACTTTGTCAAGTATGTGGCTTTTAAATATTTTATATTAACATTCATTCTCTTGATAATTCATTTCAAAAAACAGACGTTTTAATTTGGATAAAGTTGACTTTTTGTGACATCTAAAATAATTTTAATCCAAAATAATAAAGTTTTTCTCCCATGTTTTCTCAAGAATATTTATTGTTGTAGTTTTAACATTTAGTTCTAACCCCAAATAACTATATTTCCCCAATTAATAATTGTTTGAGGCATTTTTAATTATAATGTTAGCTATTTTTAAAAAGTATAAGCATAAAAAATTAAAATAATTTGAGATTTGAAATTAGCTTTATGGAAATATAAAACACGGCTGTGCTCACAATAAACCTATCTCTTATAATCTTTCTGTTTCTGGGATTTTAATTGTAGAGTAATCCACTTACATTCCCAGAACTCAATCCTGACATTCTTTCTTCCTTTCTGGGGAAGCCTCTTATTTTCACCCATTCTTCCCCTCGTCTGCATCACTATTATTAGTGCACATTTGTTCAATCTGTCTTCTCTGCCTCCAGGGCCCTGTGTTATTCTCTCTTACAGCATTAACAATCCGGAACAATGTGAGGCTACTGACCCAAGTAGTAGAGCATGAATAACAACCACTCAGTGTGTGAGCTGACCGTAGCTAACCCCTGTGGTCACGCTGCTAACTACCAGCTCGACTCCAGGGTTTCTTATGAATCTGTATACTGAGATAAAGGGATTAAGGCACTGGATTGCTCTTGAGGATTTCTGCTGAAGAGTCACAGTCCAGAGAGACAGGGTCCGTGTGATCCCTCTCAGCTCACCATTTAGCTTCTAGAAGCTTCCTACCTCCAAGAAATGATCTGAGGGAGGGGCCTCCAGGGACAGAAGTGAGAGCAGTGGCCAAGATTTCCTAACTCCCCAAGAGTGGAAGCACGCAGAAGCACCATGGGAAAGAGGGGAGGCTCAGTGAGGACGGCCAAAAATGCTCAGAGCGATGGGGAAATCGACACCCTGTCCTCCTAACACAGAGAGGCCTGAGTCCCCCCTGACTCCCAGGCGTGAACTAGAACTGAGCAGGGAAGTGGAGGCAGGAGGCTTTCCAGGAGGCGGAAGCAGGTGTGAGCAAGGCACAAGAGAGATGCTGGGTGTGGCCTCCCTGGTCATGTGCTCACCTCTGATCACTGGGCTCTGGGCCTGTTTTGGCAACTAAAGTGGTATCCGCCTCAGCCTGCACCATTCCATAGCCAGCCTTCCAGAGGCTGCATGCTCTTCCAAAGGAATGAATTTTCTACACAAAAAAATAACCAGCTCCTATGGAGAGGTGTTGGTTAAAAGTGGTGTTGGGGGAAGACCAAAAAAATTCACATAGGGAAATAGCTGGAAGGTTTTTATGGAAAGCTAAGTTGGACTCAGATAGTGGAACATTGGTCACCTGTGATGTTTAAGAATTAAGCTGAACTGTCTGAGTAGACATTTTAGAAATGTAGCTGGAACTGCCCAGTAAAAATCATAAAGAAGCTGTTGGATTCCTGCACTGTCTCTACAAATCTACAGCAAATTCTTTAGGTGCTTCCCATGCATGTGTTGTAAACTTTAAGGAATTTTATGGACTTTGAACATCTTTTATTCATTTTTTTAATATCTTGGTGTTAAATGCTAATTATATTTTCTCTGGCAAGATCTTACACTGTGTAAAGCAATATTAATTCACACAGAGAAACCTTGTGATGGTTAATATTAAGTGACAACTTGATTGGATTGAAGGACACAAAGTATTGTTCCTGGGTATGTCTGTGAGGGTGTTGCCAAAGGAGATTAACATTTGAGTCAGTGGACTGGGAGAGGCAGACCCACCCTTAGTCTGGGTGGGCAACATCCCCTCGGCTGCCAGTACTGCTGAACAATGCAGGCAAAAGAAGGTGGAGGAGCAGACTTGCTGAGTGTTCCAACCTTCATCTTTCTCCCATGCTGGATGCTTTCTGCCCTCCAACACTGGACTCCGGGTTCTTCAGGTTTTGGACTCAGACTTACACCAGTGGCTTGCCAGGGGCTCTCAGGCCTTTGGCCATAGACTGAAGGCTGCACTGTTGGCTTCCCTACTTTTAAGGTTTTGGGAATCAGACTGGCTTCCTCACTCCTCAGCTTGCAGATGGCCCACTGGGGACTTCACCTTGATCATGTGAGTCAATACTTCTTCATAAGCCCCACTTCATGTAAACATCTATCCTATTAGTTCTGTCTTTCTAGAGAACTCTGACTAATACAGATTTTGGTACCAGGAGTGGTTCTAGAGGAACTGAATTTTAAGGATGAATTTATTAGTTGGTTTGAGAGTTTCTGAAGTTGGCTGCTTCATCTGATTAGATCCAAAAATGCCAACGACTTTACTTCTAATAAAATGGAGAAGACTGATAGTCCTTGGCATGAACTGTTTAGAAAGTTATACAAAATAAATGCACCTGATACTCCTGATTCACTACTCTTGAGAGGCAAGGAGTTTAGTGACTCTATACATAATACCTTCAAACATATGTGGAGAACCAAGGAAGATAATGAAGTTGGTTAATTGCTTCTAAGTTCACTGGTCAAAGTGATAAAAAAAAAAACAGATGATATCAGGGATTCCAACTCCAGGCTCCAAAAGCACATACCAAGCCTCAAATCTTCTAAGATTGCCCTGAGTGGAGAGTCTTATCTCCTGTAGACAAGGGGCAGAAATTGTGGAAACTCAGACGCAAGATCTTACCATACCAATGACTGACCTGCAATGAAAGGTACACACTCAGCCTCTCCGGGTGTCTATTGTTACAGTGAGGGCATGGATTGGAAAAGAATAAGACCCTGCAACTTGAAATGGGGACATGTGGGAGGACCCTGATGAAGCTGGGGACACTGAGCTTCTAAATTCTGACGACCCTTTTTCTTGCCAGAGGAAACAGCCTCTCCACCCCCAGTGGTGGCAACATCCCCTCCCCTACTCATGCTGCCATCAGCCTTTCCACCTTTGTTTGAGGAGATTAACCCTGTGTTGCCTGAGGCAACAGTGATGGCCTCCCCTGGGGCAGTTGCCAGGCAAGACAATGCTTATTCTCCTCAGGACCAACACCCAACACCCCTGTTTGCTTCTATAAACATAGACTAAAGTCTACCTATAACTAAAGCCCTGTGAGACTCTACAGGTGAGATTCAGAGTGTCACCCAAAAGGAGGTACAGTACACTCTGAAAGAACTGCTTGGGTTTTCTAATTTATATAAGGAATCTGGAGAACAGACATGGGAATGGATATTAAGGGTGTGGGATAATGGGGGAAGGAACATGAAGTTGGATCCAATGGAATTTATTGATATGAGCCCACTAAGCAAGGATTCTGTATTTACTGTTGCCGTTCAGGGAATTAAAAAAAGGTTCTAATAGTGTATTTGCTTGGTTAGCTGAAATATGGATCAAAAAATGGCCCACTGTGAGCAAGATGGGAATGCCTGATCTCCCTTGGTTTAATGTAGAGGAAGAGACTCAAAGGCTTAGCGAGATTGGGATGTTGGAGTGGATTAGTCACTTTAGACCTACCTTACCTCAACTGGGAACATCCAGAAGACATACCCTTCACCGATACCTTGCAAAACAGATTGGTGAGGATCACTTACATCCTTGAAGATCTGTGATTGCTCTTCTCTATATGCTGGATCTTACAATGGGAACCACAGTCACTCAATTAGAAAACTTAAACACAGTGTGAATAATTGGATCCCAAGATGGCAGGGGCTAAGGAGTGGCACTCAACCATCAAAAGCAAGGTGGGTGTAGCTACTGTAATGGAGCAGCAGAGACAAAGCAGAAATCAGAATAGTCTAATTCATGTAGAGCTCTGGCATTGACTAATTAATGACAGTATTCTTAGAAGTAAAATTACTAGGAAGCCTTAATTCTTGCTTAATTTGTATAACCAGAAAACTTCCAGGTTGAGTAAACAAAAGACTAATGTGAATCATAAAAAGAGAGAATCATGACCCCTCAGTCAGTTTCCAGACTTGAACCAGTTTTCAGACCCAGAACCTCTTGAATGAAGGACAGGCCAGGTCCCCTTGAGGAAGGATCCTGCTACACTACTGACAGTTTATACTGTTAATTTTTCTCCCATCCTACCCTGGCCTTTTACCAGGGTAACTGTACACTGGGGAAAGGGAACTGATCAGATCTCTCAGAAATTCCTGGACCCTGGCTCTGAGCTGATGTTGATTCCAGGGATCCAAAACGTCATTGTGGTTTTCCAGTTAAAGTACGGGCTTACGGAGGTCAGGTGATTAATGGAGTTTCAGCTCAGCTCTGACTTACAGTGGGTCCAGTGGGTTACTGGACTCATCCTGTGGTCATTTTCCCAGTGCCAGAATGCAGAATTGGCATAGATAAACTTAGCAGCTGACAGAATCCCCACATTGGCTCCCTGACTGGTAGAGTGAGGGCTATTACGGTGAGAAAGGCCAAATGAAGCCATTAGAGCCATTAGAACTGCCTCTACCTAGAAAAATAGTAAATCAAAAACAATATCACATCCCTGGAGGGATTACAAAGATTAGCACTACCATCAAGGACTTGAAAGACACAGAGGTGGTGATTCCCACCATGTCCCCGTTGAACTCTCCCGTTTGGCCTGTGCAGAAGACAGACGGACCTTAGAGAATGACAGTGGATTATCGTAAGCTTAACCAAGTGGTGACTCCAAGTGCAGCTGCTGTACCACATGTAGTTTCATTGCTTGAACAAATTAACACATGTCCTGGTACCTGGTATGCAGCCATTAATTTGGCAAACATATATTTCTCCATTCCTGTCCATAAGGCCCAGCAGAAGCCATTTGTCTTTAGCAGGTAAGACCAACAATATGTATTTCACTTTGGAAATGCAAGCAACACAAGGTGAATTTGGATGTATAATCTGAACCTAATTCATAGATTGCCTGCAAAAGTGAGCACTGTCATACCTCATGGGTATATCAGCTCTCCAACTTTGTGTCATAATCTTGTTTGCAAGGATCCTGATCACTTTTCCTTTCCACAGGATATCACACTGGTCCATCACATTGATGACATTATGCTGATTGGACCCAGTGAGCAAGAAGTAGCAAACACACTGGACTTATATACTGATCCGTGGACTATAGTCAATGGTTTGGCTGGATGGTCAGGGACTTGGAAGAAGCATAATTGAAAAATTAGTGACAAAGTAATTTAGGGAAGAGGTATTTGGATGGATCTCTCTGAGTGATCAAAAACTGGGAAGATATTTGGATCCCATGTGAGTGCTCATCAACGGGTGACCTCAGCAGAGGAGAATTTTAATAATCAAGTGAATAGGATGACTAATACAAATGTCATGTAAAATTAAAATTAGCATTAAGTGCAAAAAGGGTAGCAAAACACATCCAGACTGTTCCTCTTCCATTCGCTGACAAAAACTTCAGAAATACCAACTGTGGCTGGGTGCGGTGGCTCACAACTGTAATCCCAACCTTTTGGGAGGCTGAGGCAGGCAGATCACTTAAGATCAGGAGTTTGAGACCAGCCTGGCCAACATGATGAAACCCTGTCTCTACTAAAAATACAAAAATTAGCCAGGTGTGGTGGTGGGCACCTGTAATCCCAGCTACTCAGGAGGTGAATGCCGGAGAATCATTCGAACCCAAAGGGCAGAGGTTGCAGTGAGCCGAGATCATGCCACTGCACTACAGCCTGGGTGACAGAGCAAGACTCCATCTCAAAAAGAAAAAAAAAAAAGAAATACCAGCTGTGAATAAACATGTATTACATATTGGGTTTTTTGTTTGTTTATAATACCTAAAATATATAAACACCTTTCCCTTCTGAGAAGAAAAGATGAAAGCCTGTATCTTTCCCATTATACACATGTACCTACAAATACAAATATATGTGTATTTTTTAGAATTTTGGAGGCACATCATGAGATTTGGTGTAGTCTAGTTTGGTCAGTTGTGATAGGATAAGCATCTTGGGCTGGATAACACCAGACACGTTTCCTATGTCCCTTTTATTATGTGAGTTGGCATAATAAGGTAAAGATAATAGGATTTTAAGGAGACTGTGAAAGACTATTTTATAAAATCATGGTAGAAGGTTTCTCTCACTGGAGTAAACTTGGGAACTGTGACAATTTGACAATGAGCCCCTGGAACACGAAGGGAGATTTGTTCTTCAAATCTTATAAGAACAGTGATGGTGCATAATGGCAACGAGCCCAGACTTTTAACAAGAGGACAAGAAAAAAGTGCCCCTAGTCACCATGGAGTGTGAGGAAAGTTTCAGAAAGGAGGTATCTGGAGAGGGCTCCCCTTAATCTATGTTCAAGTTCTGGACTCACTGCAAAGCTATGCATGCCTGGGTCTGACCCAAGGCAGCACAGCAAAGGATGTTAGAACTAAATGACAGGATTGAACACTCCAGGGCCCAGCTGGCACAGCACGGTGCACACTGCAGGAGGACCTGAATAGAAAGCTAAGGCTTTGAAAATTTAACTCACTTTGGAAATGCAAACAACACAAGGTGAATTGGGATGTATAACCTGAACCTAATTCATAGATTGCCTGCAAAAGTTAGCAAACAAATATACTTAAAATTTTCCAGAGACTTTTAACAATTCCCACAGTTTCTTATCAAATATTTTAAATCCCCAAAATATAATCAGAGTTTCTTATCATAAAAATGACCAGGATAATTTCAATAACTTAACAGAAAAGACAATCAGCAGACACTAGCTCAGAGACAACCCAGATGGAATTATCCAAAAAAGACTTGTAAAGCAGCTATTTTTACCATGTTTTATTAAGTAAGAGTGAAAACTATTGAAATCCATACAATGTAGGCATGCTTGCCAGAGGTAGAAATTATTAAAAAGAACCAAAAAAATTAGAATAAAAAATACGATAAGTGCAGTAATTTCTTAAATGGGCTTTTTTGCAGAATGAAGATAGCAAAGAAAAAAGTTTGTGAAAGTTAAGATAGGCAATAGAAAATATTCAATTTAAATAGCAAACAGAAAAAAAAAATACTAGACAAGTGCATAAATGGCGTTTCATGGACCTGTGAAATAATATCAAATATCTAATGTTCATGTTATTGAAGTCTGAGAGGGAAATAAAAAAAGAAATTTTTCCAGAAAAAACTTGAAGAACTAATGGCTGAAACATTTCAAATTTGACAAATAACACAAATTTAAAGATTCCAGAGATCAGTGAACTCAGAAAATGGGAGAAAATCTGTCTGATAATGACAGTATATATAGAATATATAAAGAACTCTTAAATGTAATAATAAAAAGACAAATAATAATTAAAATAGGCAAATGATCTGAATAGACTCAAGAAGATATACATGTGAACTTAATAAGCACAAGAAAAAGTGTCAGTGTCATTAGCCATCAAGGAAATGCAAATTAAAATCACAAAAAGATACTAATTCACCCCTATCCCCATTAAATAAGAACAGGTATTGATGAGAATTAGGAGATAATGGAACTCTCATGCATCACTGGCAGGGGCATAAAACCGTGAATCAACTTTGAAAAGAATTAAGAAGTTCCTCAAAAGGTTAAGCATAAAATTGCCTATGACCCATATATTTCACATCTAGGTTTGTGCCTAAAAAATACACAGAAAAAATGTATACATGTGTTCTTAGCATTATTATTCACAACAGCCAAAAGAGGTGGAAATAACCACAAGTGACCATCACTGGAAAATCAGAATGAGATATATCCATCAATTGGAGTATTATTTGCCAAATAAAAGTAATAAAATACTGATAAATGCTACAACATGGATGAACACATTATGCTAAAAAGAACTGCCAGAAACTGGGTAATTTATGAAGGAAAGAGGTTTAATTGACTCAAAGTTCGGCGTGACTGGGGAGGTCTCAGGGAACTTATAATCATGGTGGAAGGCAAAGGGGAAGCAAGGTAACTTCTTCACAGGCAGCGGGAAGGAGAATGACTGAAGGAGGAACTTGCCAAACACTTATAAAACCATGAGATCTGGTGAGAACTCATTCACTATCATGAGAACATCATGGGGGAAAATCGCCCATGATCCAATGACCTCCACCTGGTCTCTCCTTCACACGTGAGGATTATGGGGATTAAAATTCAAGATGAGATTTTGGGTGACGACACAGCCAAATTATATCACTAAGTGAAATAAATGAGTCATAAAAGGACACAGATTGTATGATTCCATTTATATACAATGTTCAGTGCAGGTACATCTGTAGATACAGAAAATAGATTAGTGGTTGCCTGGGGCTGGGGGTTTAGGGGAAAGAGGTGATTTTAATGGGTATGGAATTTCATTTTGAAGTTATGAAAGCAGCCTAAAATTGGGCAATATTCTGTGAATATACTAAGAACCAATGCATTGCATACTTTTAATGAGTGAACTATAAAGCATGTCAATTACATAATAATTAAGCTGATATACACACAATCAGTGACAGAACATCAATGAACTATACATAGGAGGAATGTTGGGAATATGACTGTATGCATGTCAAAATGCACAGAAGTGTGTGCCAAAAACTTAATTTTGCCTCATACAAAAAAAATAAATTAAAAAAAAATAAATAGTACCTAGAATAATATTTTACATAAGTGGACAATTGATAATTCACATAAGCAGAAGGCAACATAAAGTACAAATTTACCAATGTATGAAGTTGTACCTGATAAATCACTCTCAGTACATGTTTCAGAATAGTTTTACAATTTCATTACTTGCTTTACTGAGACATTCCTGAAACATTCACATCTATTTTATTGAGTATTCTTAGAGTGATGAAGAGATTTTTCTTAGAACCATCCTTTTCAGCTCATGCATTTCTCTACTGCATCTTGAGTTACAGCATCTGCCACCAGAAAGGGCTAACTTTTCTGTGTTTTACCCAATGAAAAACAACAAAAATAAGAAATCAGTGAGACTCCGTTACCCAAAACCCATGAGCCAAATTCAACTGGATTATTTGGTGCATATTTTGTATCTCAGACCACTGATATGTAAACTTCTGCCCCATCCTTGGCATTTCAAAAGAAATTGAGAGGGAAATTTCCTGACTTTCCTTTAACTAAGACTTTTAAACATTAGTGTCCTGTGTTTGTTTTTATTATGTTTTGCTTTGCTTTTGTTTTCACTTTACATAAATATTGTCTTTGTTTTAGTTTTTAAATCAAGACTACCTGATCAACATGAAGGTGTTTAAAACCTGTTTTTAATGCCAGTTTCATGCTATCTTATCTCTTTATTATTAATATTATACAAAACTATGACCAAGCTAGACTAAAAAAAACCTAATTATGTAAAGGTAATTTTTGTTCCTGCCTTTTCCTGATAAGTTCTAGAAACTTCTTAGTATAGATTAAGAATATATATATATATTTTTTTTTGAGACGGAGTCTTGCTCTGTCGCCCAGGCTGGAGTGCAGTGGCCGGATCTCAGCTCACTGCAAGCTCCGCCTCCCGGGTTTACGCCATTCTCCTGCCTCAGCCTCCCGAGTAGCTGGGACTACAGGCGCCCGCCACCTCGCCCGGCTAGTTTTTTGTATTTTTTAGTAGAGACAGGGTTTCACCGTGTTAGCCAGGATGGTCTCAATCTCCTGACCTCGTGATCCGCCCGTCTCGGCCTCCCAAAGTGCTGGGATTACAGGCATGAGCCACCGCGCCCGGCCAAGAATATTTTTTACTTAGACAATAAATAAGCCACCACAATTCACAGTGCCAGCTTGAAGATGAGATTTGTTATTCAGTATAAGTTGAATTAAAATCAAATAAGCCTTCACCTTGCTGATGCCTCTGATGTGACTAATTTAGGAATGCAGATAAGTGCATTCAGTCTCAGACTGTGCTCAGTAAGTTGACGGTTCAGTACGATTCTTTGTATTTTTGAGTCTGAATGCCAAATTACAAACAAATTCTTTATACTTAAGATTCTTTTTATTCTCACCTGTCCAAACTCTCCTGAAAGTTGCTTGACTTCTCTTCAATCCAAACACTTAAACCAACAATTGAAAGATAGGCATTGGCACGAGGACACTTTCTTTTTTTTTTTTATTTTTATTTTTATTTTTTATTTTTATTTTTAAAATTTATTTATTATTATTATACTTTAAGTTATAGGGTACATGTGCATAGCGTGCAGGTTTGTTACATATGTATACTTGTGCCATGTTGGTGTGCTGTACCCATCAACTCATCAGCACCCATCAACTCGTCATTTACATCAGGTATAACTCCCAATGCAATCCCTCCCCCTCCCCCCTCCCCATGATAGGCCCCGGTGTGTGATGTTCCCCTTCCGAGTCCAAGTGATCTCATTGTTCAGTTCCCACCTATGAGTGAGAACATGCGGTGTTTGGTTTTCTGTTCTTGTGATAGTTTGCTAAGAATGATGGTTTCCAGCTGCATCCATGTCCCTACAAAGGACACAAACTCATCCTTTTTTATGGCTGCATAGTATTCCATGGTGTATATGTGCCACATTTTCTTAATCCAATCTGTCACTGATGGACATTTGGGTTGATTCCAAGTCTTTGCTATTGTGAATAGTGCCGCAATAAACATACGTGTGCATGTGTCTTTATAGCAGCATAATTTATAATCCTTTGGGTATATACCCAGTAATGGGATGGCTGGGTCATATGGTACATCTAGTTCTAGATCCTTGAGGAATCGCCATACTGTTTTCCATAATGGTTGAATTAGTTTACAATCCCACCAACAGTGTAAAAGTGTTCCTATTTCTCCACATCCTCTCCAGCACCTGTTGTTTCCTGACTTTTTAATGATCGCCATTCTAACTGGTGTGAGATGGTATCTCATTGTGGTTTTGATTTGCATTTCTCTGATGGCCAGTGATGATGAGCATTTTTTCATGTGTCTGTT